AAAATGCACGCATTTGCTCGCGACGTCGATAACTTCTTTAAAGAGCATTTACGCGACCTCTCAAGGTTAGATCAATCCGAAGAGTTCACTCAGCAACGTATCAGACAGCAGGTTGAAGATAATAATATCTCAATCCATGATTTTTGGCGGGAATTGGTTATTCTCGCAAAGGTCACAAGTTTACAACTACGCAAAAAAATTCATTTCTGGAGTGCCTCTGAGTAGGGCATCATTCTTAAAAAAATCAACACATGATACATTCCCTTTCTATGTCACCGCGGGCTTGATGTCATTTGACATGACATTCCACCATCTATGTTGACCAGACAACTAAGTAGGTTACATGAGTGTAGATAACCATTGTCATGAGTGTAGATAACCATTATCCTGATTATAGGTAACGAGTCATCTCGTTATGAACACTACAATTTTAGTTATTTAGATAACCATCATCCATCTCCATCAGTGCCTATTATTGGATTGTTCAGCGAGTTTGCACCTGTATGGTATGGTTGTCTTAATTATTAATAGTCGATACACCGAAATATTAGTCTTATATGGAGCATATACATATACGTATGGGGTATGCAAATATCAATCATGTTTTTGAGAGCAGAAAAAAGAGTGCATTTAAATTCGTCAGGCTTTGATAATTCGCAACTGGCTTTCATAATCTAATAGTACATGTATTTAATATGAATTTTGTCAATTGCGAATTAGGATTTTTTATGCAATAGAAAATAAAAAATTTTTGTCATCATCTTTGATTTCTAACTTACCGCGTCGAATTTTTGCACGTTGGTTTATGATGTAATTTTTGATTTGAAAACTGATAATACGTGTACGTATGTGGTGGAAATGACAAAAAAGTATATATATATATTCGATCATTGTCGGAGACATTCGAATACTGTGCATTAACCAATGTTAATGGCTCTTTCCAATGCAGGGTAACATTGTTGAAACCTTTCAAGGTAATCTATATTTTATTTAATGTTTAAGAATTACATGTATAGATGGTCATTATCCTTTATATAATACAGTTGCATCTCGTTATAGTGACACTCTTTCCCAGTCCTAGCTATTAGGGATTTGACCTCCACATAGTCACACCTTATATTTGCCAGATTTCTGTTTCCCGACCCTGTGATTATAACGAGTTACATACTTGCAATGAACCAAAACATATTTTTCGAAATTAACTCGGAATTTTGTCTCAAATATAATGTTATAAAAACTACTAATTTATCTTTTTATAAAATAGTCAAATATAAGAAATGACATTAATTTTTATGTCAATCATATTTGAATATGCTATTTTAGAAATATGATTCAATGCTTTTACTTTTCACGAATGAATAATGAATTACATGTAATATAAATCACTCCTATCCTGATGATTAATTAATTGCAAATGGGTTCCAAACTTACATAATGTAAAGAATGGAATTATCTTTCCAATAAATTTGCTATAAAATTGAATGATAGAATGAAAGACTGTTTTGGCATTAATAGAGACTATATTATATATCAGGATCAGGATTAATAATGCACTTAAAATACAAAAATTATGCCATTTACTTTATCTTTAGACAGTTTAGAGGGGTCTGATACTTATGATTCGTGTTGTATATTGCAGTTAACATTGAGGGCACTTCCTTACATTGTTCATTTTACCTCGTTCATAAACTCTAATGTGATTTGCTTTAAATTAACGAATTCATTGAATTTCTTCGCGGATACAAGAAATAATGGATCCTCCAACCAGGTTGCTTATATAGTGTTCCAAAACCTCCTTTTCAAAATATTCAACACTTTAAAAGGGATTCCTTGTAATTTTCGCGCATTCTTATATTAAATCGTAAATGATATTCACAACATTAATCGCAGTAGTGAGTTTCTTGATAATCGGTACATTTAATACAATCGTATCAATGCTATCTGGAGAACTTTTAGAATCCATTCACTCATTCACTATTTGTTATGTGTATATTTAAGATGTTTCGAGCACTAGAATAAGAGCTTTCTGATGTTTTTCCAAATTTATATTATCAACAGACACAATGACATACCATGTTGTAGAGTTTGGAAAACTAATAGATAGATTAAAACTGATTTGATAAAAGATTTGTTTATAATAAAAACAAGCAATAAAGGGTTTAACATAATGTTTTTTCAATTCAGCATTGGTTTTGTTCGTATCGTCTCTACTACGAGCATTCTTTTTATGCGATTCTTCAGTAACGCCACGTTCCCAATCTTTTTGAAGTTGTCCAACGATACCTATTATCAAATTTAGCGAACGTACATAAATATTATGGCGAATGTGTTTCTGTTGTTCATAGAAATGTCAATTATTATTATCCTTATGATCGTTGAGAGCTGACGGATGAACAACATGTTCTTTATCCTGCCAATGTTCTTCTTTGGTGGTGTTTTCTCTCGCTAGGCCTTTGATGTCGATGAGAAAATCGTGACGTGGAAGTGCATGAAATACGACTGCCGAGTTTGGTTCGCGGCCTATGGAACGAGAACATAAATAATTATACCAATTGAAAAAGATTTTTGTTCAGACATAATTAATTGTCAATTGAAGATTTGTTAACGAAAAATTATTTCTCACAGCCCCAATATATACGTACGTAGTTCGGTCACGTCATATCGATAAACATGTACAATTGATGATCCACACATTATCGTTATGTGTACATGTACATGTATTTAGTGCAATACGTATACAATACGACATAGTCGCGGCAGTGTGTAGAGATATTAGATACAGGTACGTAATGATCAATATATTATACATCGGCAGATGGTTCAGTGTATAAGTTATCTTATATTCCAACAATTAGTTGAAGCTTCTGATCAATAACCAAGAGGGACCCGGAAAAATTTTGATATAGATTTTTAATTTTTACTCTGTTGTCAAACGAGCATATTGATCTACCGGATACCACCATAAACCAGTTAAAGAATATAATTTATTGAAAATCAAAAAATAAAACAAAAATTTGCTTAAGAAAATAAATGGTATCTGACTCGAAGGAATTGCTCAATTTCATTATAGTCAATTTTGAAGGAGTTAGATCAATAATTTATCGTTAAAGTGAAATAAAAGTGGAAAATATACAAGAATGTGATTCGTTGATGATTATTTTAGAGTACGAACAGTCGACTTTCGATATAACGACGTGCAGATCCTATTGTAAATTCAATAGAATCTGTTACCGTAGTAACAATAAATCCCTTAATTCCGCAATAATGCTCAACTAATTTCTACATGAAAATCTTACCGCAA